CAAGGAAGATAAGCTCTGTGACTGTAAATCCTCTTCTGAAAGACTTTGCCAGCTGTGAATAAGCAGAATTAACAGTAAATTAATAAAAGGGGTTTTTGCTGGGACAAGGAGTTTGTTTCATGCTCTTGGGAAGCCTTGATCAAAACACTGGTAGACCATTATCAAATGACATCCAAATAATTCTAATACCACTAGGTGATGGAATTCTCTTGCCAGCTCTACTGGGAATGGAGTCTACCCATAGCTTTAAATGGACCAGAATTTTCTTTCAAGTAGATGAATGACATTTTATTTAGTAAATTGTGCCTTTCATTTCCTATAATTCTTTGAATGATTCCCTAAATCAGGAGTGTCAAACTCATGTTGTCACGGTGGCATCACATGATGTATCCTGACTTTCCCCCCCTTCCCTAAACTGGGCATTGGTGTGGCCAGCATATGATACATCTGGCCTGTGGGGCCCGCGATTGACAGTCCTGACCTAAACTTTCTCTCTTTGCTTTTATGTTTAATCTAGGATCTTAATATGATGTAAGTTTGAAAAGAAATGGGTTTTGCAAAAAGGTAATAATCCAACTGGTTAATCAATCCCAAACCAGATTTTACTGATGCATAGATACATGAAATAAAATGATTCTTAGAAAGTCTTAAAAAGTTAGTGGGGGTAAAGTTATATCCAAATAACTGAACCTGAAAATTCTGGTTTCAGTTTCAGAAAATACTATCTCAAGTGTAATTTGCATTTACATCAACAGAGGAATTTGATTTTCCTTTTAATCCACATACTTGGATATCAAACAAAAACTAAAAGCCAATGTTTGTAATAAAGTACATAACTTTGGCTGTGTAATATAAAACTTTAATATAATTCCAAAATTCAACATAAGAAGAAAAAGAAACTAATATTGTCTATATTCTCAAATGAACCTGAACATTTCAATTCAGAATTATTGAATGGCTGATAGGTTTTTATTGCAGAACTTGCTTTCAGTGTAACCATAAGCTGAACAGATTTCATTTAAACATTGTACATTTTTGCAGGATAAAAATGTGAATTTGTTGGCATGGATGTTCTGCTTTGATAAAAAGCTAAATTAATGGTGTTAACAGGAAGAGGTTTACACAGAATAATGTGTAGGAAGTTAAAACCCTTCTTCTAAAAAAACCGAAATACTGTATTTTCCAGCGTATAAGGCGACTGGGTGTATAAGACGACCCCCTACTTTTCTTGTTAAAATATAGGGTTTGGTCTAAAGTCACTGTATAAGGCTACCCCTCTTCCAAGGCACACCAAATAGCCAATCAGCCTCCATTTTATTTTGAGAACCTTTCTCCCAGCTTGGAACTGAACCAGGTGGCTTTTCCTTCTAACACTCCCCTTCCCCAAACTGGGCCCCAGATGAGTCGGGTTGCCTTCTTCTGGTGATGGGGGTCAGGTGTGGGGAACAGGCTTCAGTCCAATTCAGGCCGAATATCCGAGACCAGCATCGCTGCTTTGAAAGTAAAGGTGGCTCCGGGCCACCTTTCGTACCCAAAGGGCTTTTCCTAGCGCTTCAGAGAGAGAAGCTGCCGCAAGCATCCTCCCTGCCCAGCAACTCTACCCACTGCCTCAGCTGATGGAGGAAAAAGGCGGGGAGCCGAAGGAAACGCCGGGACGTGGATACCCCTCGCTCTCACCAAACAGAGGGTTTCCTCATTCAAGGAAAAGTGAACAGCCCACAAACTGCCAAGGCTACAAGTATTGCCTGTATTACAGAGCTTCCCAGGCTACTAGACTGGATTCTGTCTCCTGTATGCCCGAAAAACAGAATATGAGATGCTATGCTGGCTTTTTTTTTAAAAGCTTCCCCAATCCTCCGCCTCTTTCCCGAATCAAAAGGTTGTCAAAAGGTTGCAAAGATTGATCATACGACCTTGGGACACAGCAACGGTCATAAGTTTGAATCAGTTGCCAAGCATCTGAATTTTGATCCCCTGACCATGGGGGATGCTACAAAGGTCGTAACTCTGAAAAAATGGTCCAAAGTCATTTTTCCCCAGTGAGGATGTAAGTTTGAATGCTCACTAAAGGAACTGTTGTAAGTAGAAGCCTACCTGTACCTTCCAGCTGTATTGTGTCAAAAGCAGATCAGGAATGGCTGTTTTGATTACCTATGGAATTCCACTATAGGAGAAAGTTCAGCTTGTTCCTTTTTAATCCCTGGCCCAGCTTTCCTTGCCTATTATTTCAGTCACCAAACTTTTATTGAGAAGACAGGCCCGCCACAGACACCAATGTCGCACAACACACAAGATCAATTGCTAAATTAACGTGATTAAGGCAGCGGGCTGTGTGTGGGCACATGCACATGTCTGCCTGCAATTTCATCACAGGAGCTACACACACACACATACACACACACACTCAGCAGACAGAGCTGCAGCACAATCCTGCATGAAACAACCGAGGCTCTGGTGTCACCTTGGTCAGTTCCCTTCTGAACTTCAATAGGAAGTGAGAAAGGGCCAAGTTGGTGGGAGGAGAGAGACATTTAAGTCCTACGCTTTCCCCTTCTAGTGCACCCCTCTCCGGGGCCACGAGCGCCCCATTTTTCCTGCTGATCCCCTGCAAAGAGGAAGGGGGTGGCAAAGCGCAAGGAGGACCAGCAGCAGCGGAGCGCTCCGAGCCAGCACCAGCAGCCAGCCCATCAGCTCCTCCGCCTGCTATCAGCAGCGCGACAGCCCAGCCAGGTGGGGAGGCAGTGCTTGGGTCCCCAAGGTGCGGTGCGGGTTGGCAGGAGCGATGGCTCGTAGGAGGAGTGAATGATGAGCTAGGAAAGGCAGCCAGTTTTTCCCCCCCAAACAACCTCATTTCAATGAACATGTTTTTAACCAATGTCAATATTGTTCTTTGATTTTTTATACACCAGTTGATGGTTTTGGTTTTTTGATATGGCCTTTCTTATACCTGGCATATAAGACGACCCCTGATTTTTGAAACAATTTTTTGGGGTTAAAAAGTCATCT